AAATTTCAAATCCCTATCTCTTAATATTTCTATTTTTATCAACACATTAACAAAATTAGAATCGACACGTGTCAACATCCTTTCGTTTATAAATAATACATGTCACGATCTTGTTAAGAGCTAACTGGAATACTTATTATAATATTTCTCTATCATTTCTAAATAACACATGTCACAATCTTGTTAATGGCTAACTTTGAAAACCAAGGTTCATATAATAAGATATATATATATATATATATATATATATATATATATATATATATATATATATATATATATTGAAAGTTTAAATATGTAAATCATTTAATAATGTAAAACATTTAATAAATATGGATACTTTTATGTGGGGAGCTCTGAAATGCTGCCACATGTCTTATAAACATGACACTTCTTCTCTTTTTCTAATGTTATCTTTTTTTAGATTCTCTTTCTTTCTAATAAAAATTTGATTTATTAATCATAAACCAACCTCATTATAAAACCCAAAAGAAAGCTATTTTTAATGAAAATATCTGACATGTATATTTTATCTTTAAACACTATAAATTAATTAAGAGTAAATATTGAAAAGTAACTTTTATTTTTTTCTTCTTAAAACATACTTTTTGTTTTTCAATTATTTGAGGTCATAGATTTAACTAACCCATTAATTAACCTAGCTAGCTAAAATTGATAATATCTAACAAAAAGTTTATATTTTACAATATAAAATAAATTTTTTAATTATACAAGATTTTTTTCATAAAGTAATATAACACCAGGATTATATTTTGTTACTTTATTTTAAGATTTCTTCTGAAGGTCTAGTGAATGATTTGTCCATTCTTTTTGGGAGCACTTTTCTGTTTTTTCTTGAGATCAGAGTCCGCAAAATTATATGATCGAGTTGCAGCAGTAGTAACGAGAGATAGTTTTATTATCAGTCACATGAGTTGTAAAAATGGGTTGTAAAAGGAAACAAAACCAAAGTTTGACCGATATCATTTTGTATATATATATAACCGATTGGTTTGGACTTTGGAGTTGTAAAACATTCGTTAACTCAGTTTGCAAGTTTAATATGTAGTTATAATAACATAAATAAATCCCTAGATACCAAGCTGAACTCTAGAACAAAGACACTCTTAACCTAAATGTTTCATTTGAATTGAAACTGGCATGAACTTGTCCTTGACAAGACTTTTCATATACTTGACCATCATACGCCTATCTGTAGAACAAATGCGTTTTGAGGATAAGAAAGTAGCTCTCTTCAAATGATTTGAGCTTTTCAGAATGTATTTCGCCACTTTCCTCTCCTTTTTTCGTTGCCATTTGTAGCCTTTCCACGTGAATGTCTCTAGATGAAGCAACAAGCATTCAGGAATATTCTTTGGTTGATTCCATTCTCCAGGATCCAGAGCTTCATTGCAACCCTTGAGGAGGCAAAAAAACACATTATATGTTATTACTGACATATCTAAAACCAATCTATTGTTGACATATGAACATATATTTGCTTACACCGTTGAGCTTGAGGACTTGCAATTTAGGAGAACAGCCAAGCATGTGGATAAGTAGATTCCCCCAGGCTTCTCTATCTGTATACAGCTCCAAATATACCAGCTGGTAGAAGATGACACTGATAGGAAACTCAATCTGAACACGAGACAATATTAGTATATTATAAACAATGTAATATTAGTTTATCGATCTAAACAATATAATATTATCTCAACTGATTGCATGTTTTTTACCTTCAAGGATGATAAAGCCAAGGTAAGACGTCTCACTGAAGTGAGAGGTCCCAATAGATTCTCACTGATTATGGTTATATGATTAGAGACCTCAATATCGATATCTGCCTCAACCAACTCTGGTACGTTCTCAATTAGACAAGACTCCAGAGCTATAGAACCACTAATCTTCAGGTACTTTAAAGAAGGAGTATTTATCGCATAGCTGCAGGGGGGGTAGAGGTCATTATCAATTGATAGTCTCTGTAAGGAAGGCACTGCAATAAAGAAACAGTCGCTACTATTTGTAATTCGAGACACTTCAACATTTTCAAGATTAGGGCAGCCAGATAAAAGGTTGAGAAGCGATTTCTCCTCGTGGAACTGTAGGTCGTAGATGTGTAGAGTTCTAAGGGATTTCAGACACACTGTTGAAGGGAAGACATCCGTGATAGCCCAAGAACAGATTTTCAAAGTCTCAAGATTAGGGCAACCAGATAAAAGGTTGAGAAACGTTTCATTGTCTTTGTAGTTCACGTAGTCTAGATGCAGATTTTTAAGAGACTTGAGACAAAACTGAGAAGGGAAATGGAGGACCCATCTCCTGAGTGTCAAAGTCTCAAGTGTTTCACCGTTATACAAGCTTGTCGGAAATGTGATCAACACTTCGGCGGGACCGCTAACTTCGAGTACCAACTTACGGACATTGCGGGTGAGTGCAATCCCAATCAAGATTACAATATCCACTACATTATGTCTATCTATATAATCAACTTTGAGTTGAAAACTTTGTAGAACTGGAGCCTTATGTGAAAGCAAAAACTTGCAAACGTTCCCGAGTTGATGTTTGATAGGGAAATAATCGAACTTGAGTTTAGGGATCATCTTCCAAACAGATTGCCACTGTTTACACAAAACACTTGTGGCTACTGCCTGTTGTATAGGAAGTTGGCACAATATCTTCAGAATCAAAGATTCAGGCAACTCACTGATCCTGTCCTCTTTCACAACACTTGCATCATTCTTTCTTTCATCACCGCTGTTTCTTTTGCTGTCAAAAAGCCAAAATCGAATAACAAATTAATTAAACACACGAGTTGGTACGGTTGTTGAGTTTTGGAGATTATTAAAGATACTAACCATCGTTTCATTGCTCAAGCTTGAGTTTTAACGTACGCTTTTTCCAAACAAAGATGGTGCTGCTCGAGTTCGATGGGTAGCGTAGACGAAGATATTAGACTGCGGAGGTAAGTAGGGTTTACCAAAAATATCACTTTTGTTTACAATAACTTGTTCGGCCGAACTAAATGGTTTCTGAAGGCCCAAAAAAAAAAGCCTAACTGAAATAAGGAACGTTAATTAGTTTATAATTGGGTTTGTTCTTTTTTTTTTTTTTTTTGTCATCAATTGGGTTTGTTCATGTTACGTATTTTTATAACAGTTACTTGTTAGATAAGTCATGTCGGTTCGTTTGGTTTTCCAATTGTTACGAAGGTTACTTCTGGTTCTGTAGACTTACAAGTTTTTTTTTTTTTTTTTTTTTTCATTTCACTTTCTTTGCCATAAAATCAACTCATCATTATCCTTTGTAACAAATAATTTAGAGAAATGGATTTTAAAATTTACAAGAGAAATTTCGAACAAGAACATCCATAACAACTACTATACAAATATAACAAATTAGTTTCTGTAATTAGGTTAGAGGTAGATTTTTTTTTAATTAGTTTCTGTAATTTTACAATTCTTAGTTTCACCATAAATTTAAATATACCATATGCTTTTAGTACCATACTTATCAGATTCTTATTAATAAAAAATTGATTCTTTTAAGTGTCAACAAGTTAAAAGCTACATAAGAACCACATACCACAATAGTATAACAAGCTCGACATCCAAAACAGTCTAAAAAGATGATATAAATATGTTGAACAAAGAGCAGAGTAAACATGTGAGAACAAAGAATCTCTTACTATATATATAGTTGCTGTTTCATTCAACGAGAAGCTGGCATGAATTCGAAGCCCTAGCCACACTATTCAAATCCTTGACCATTTCAACTCTCTCTTCAGAACGAAGTTGTTTTGAGGAGAAAGTTGCTATCTTCAAACAATTTGTGTTACTTAGGATGTATCTCACAACTTCAAACAAAGCTTCTTGTCTCCAATCATAGCCTTTCCAGAAGAATGTCTCGAGGTGAAACAACAAGCATTCAGGAACATTCTCTGGCTGATTCCATTTCCCAACAGCATCATTATTCCAATATCGATGCTGAGATCAGTGAGAGATAATGCAATATCCACGTTATCATTAGATCATCAAAACTAAAACACATGCAGCTGGAAAAGAACATTTTGCTTACACTGAAAATCTTGAGAACTTGCAAATTAGGAGAACCATCAAGCATTAGGGTAAGTAGATTCCAACACTCTTCGTTGTGTGTGAGTAGTTCCAAGTAAACCAGCTGATAGAAGATGCTACCCGTGGGAAACTTAATCTGTGCATCAGTAAGAGAATTAGTACTTATAAAGAATAGAATATAACAAAAACTAAATTAAGTGCAAGAAAACTACCTGCGAAGGTGAGGATTCTAAGTTCAGACGTTTGACAGACGTTAGAGATCCCAATAGGTTGTCATTCACTAAATGAGAGGATACACTGATCATTGCCTCCTCCAACTCTGGTACGTTCTCAATCAGAAAATACCCAAATACTTGATCAGTCCCTTCAATCTTCAAGAATTTTAAACAAGGAGCATTTATCACATATCCGGCATCCGTATCAACTCTACCTGATGCATAAATTGTCAGTCTCTGTAAAGATGGAACCGCAATAGTGAATGGTTTCGTGCTGCTAACTGAGTTTTGACGCACATCCAGGTTTTCAAGATTAGGGCAGCCAGATAGAAGGTTAAGCAATGAATCATTGTCTTTGAAGTTCACATAATGAAGGTGCAGAGTTGTAAGGGATTTCAGACAGACTGAGGAAGGGACATCTAAAAGAACATGATACTTGAGTTCCAAGGTCTCTAGTGTTTCACAGTTATACAAGCCATTAGATATTCTGATTGGTTCCCAGAGAACTTGGAGTACCAACTTACGCAACTTGCGGGCCAAAACAACCCCAATCAATGTCTCAGTATCACTCGTAGTACACCAACCAAGTAAATAAATTTTGAGATGCAAACTCTGTAGAACCGGAGCCTTATGTGAAAGCAAAGCCTTGCTAACATTCTTTGAAAATGCTCCAGGTCCACTTTTGTGATCATAAGAATGAAATTCGAGTTTAGGCAACATCTTCCAAAGAGACTTCCATTGCTTAGACAAAACACTCGTGGCTACAGCAACTTTTGTAGGAAGTAGAGACAATATCTCCAGAATTAAAGCCTCAGGAAGCTCACTGATCCTGTCCACACTCACAATACGTCGACTGTGTATACGCTTACGATCTCTTTTGCTGCCAAAGACCACGACAAAAGACACAATTAGTTGGCTTTATGTTTTGGAGATTACTGTTGAGGAATCCTAAAACATATAAAAGAAACTAACCGTCGTTTCATTGGTCAGGTTTGAATTGAAGAAGTTTGTGCGTTGCTGTTAAACCCTTCGTGAGTACTAAACCTCCCGAACGTAGATGGAGCTGATCCAATTCGGCTGGGTAAGACGAAGTAGAAGAGTTAGGGTTTTGGAGGATTTATTTGTGTATTTTCACTTCCCAATATGACTTTATATTATGTTTATGATATTTTTTTCTTCTCTTTTTTTTTTAATACAATAATAGATTTTAACCGGCGTACACAGATGGCAAATTTTTTAATTCTTATTTTCAAATACAATTTTTTTTATTATGTTGTAAATTATTTAAATTAATTACATAATATCAAACTTAATTAAATCAGTTTGATTCGACGATGCTATTAAAAGGTATTTTTCTTGTCAAAATTTATTTTTTATATTCTAATGAAATTAACAAAAAAAAATATAAAATCAAGAATCCAAAATTTAAAATTACATAACCCATCCGGAAAAATACCACTTTTTAAATATAATTCACGATGACAAAATAAAATTCCAAAATTTTAAACACAAAAAAATTCTAGTAAAATATTCTTGTCCATCAAAGGGATTCCACCTTAAAATTCCAGTGTTAAAGAAAGTTTCCACCGGATTTGGCCTAATTCAAGGATTCACTTTTGTAGGAACTAATGTTGTTGACTTGCCGGTTCTGTGAATTGAAACATGTGGGAAATACATGTATATTTCCACATCAAACTCTCAACCAAATTAGTTGGTCAGAAATTGTGACTGCACCTGATGCAGTAGCTAAGCTAAGTGAACAAAACCGGTTACTCTGTTCTTGTTCTGTTCACCAAAGCTTTTACAACAATCAAAGCTAGTAGCTCCCCTGTTAGCCATTCGTAGTCTCTGACTCATCAAAAAGTTTTCAGAATCTATATATTCTTCCCAATTCACAAACCCAACCTTTAAATTACACACAATTCAGAACTTGTAATCCTTAGTCCTTACGTGTGGTATAAGTTTCTCTGAACATAAGCTGGCATGACTTCAATTCAACGAAGCCATGTTCTTATGACATATCTGATTTTATATTCGGTCTGCTTTATGGAAACAGAGAGTAGAAAACAAATAACGAAGAAGATAAAGAGCTGTTGCCGATTCTTAACAGGTAAAACAGATATAATTAATTAGGTTTAACACAAGAAGCATAGGTGCTTAATAGGTTTCATTGAAACATAAGCTTGCATGAATCTGAAGCCCTGACCACACTATTTAAATCCTCGGCCATCTCATCTCTCTTTTTACGATCGATGGATTTTGAGGAAAAAGTTGCTATTTTTAAACGAATCGAGTTACTTAGAATATATTTCACCACTTCATTCTCACCTTCTCGTTTCCATTCATAGAATTTCCAGACAAATGTCTCGAGGTTCCGCAATAAACATTCAGCAACTTTTTCTGGTCGATTCCATGATTTCCCACAAGCAAACGTACAAAGTAACATTCATCAATTACAATTTCCAACAAATACATAATAATGTTTGGAATTTTGGATAATCAAAAAGGGTCAAACAAAGGCCATACTAGAACTCAGTACGCCCAACTGAACATCATCATAATAAAAAGTTACATAAGACTATCTTTCTTACATTCGAATACAAGCTGACATGAATTTGAAGCCCTGACCACACTTTCCAAATCCTTCCTCATCTCAACCATCTCAGCCATGTCTAGAGAACTGTTCTCTTCATAGATTATTCTGGAGAAAGTTGCTCTCTTCAAACGATTAGTGTTTCTTAGGATGTATTTCGCCACCTCTCTTTCATCTTCTCCTAGCCTGTTGCAGCCTTTCCACATGAATGAACCGAGATGAAACAACAAACATCCAGGAACATTCTTTGGTTGATTCCAATTCCTAAAGGCTGAATGATAATTTTTACAAGACCGTCTCTGAGACTAACAAACACAATGTACACTATTATTAGATCGATAGCAAAATTTAAAACCAACTTGCAAATATTTCTGAGAGCTGAACATTGCTTACACCAATGAGCTTGAGGATTTGCAATTTAGGAGAGCTATCGAGCATGAGCACAAGTAGATTCCACCACTCTGGTTTATGTGTATATAGCTCCAAAGATACCAACTGATAGAAGATGCTACCAGTAGGAAACTTAATCTATACACATGCGCCAATATTAGCACAATAAACAGTGTGATAATTAACAGACAAGTACACAATTCCTTGCAAGAAAAACTTACCTCCAAGGGGGATAAAGCCAAGGAAAGACGTTTGACAGAAGTGAAAGATTCCAGAAGCCTCTCAGTGATTATCTCAGACACATCCATAATAGTTGCCTCCACCAACTCCGGCGCATTCTCGATCAGACAAAACTCAAGAGACTTTAGGCCATAAATTAGCAAGTATTTCAAAGAAGGAGCATTGATTACATAGCCACCACACTCTTGTGCATCAGAATAATCTCGAATTGTTAGTCTCTGTAAAGATGGCATGGCAATTGTGAAAGTCGCCACATCCAGTTGATCTCCTCGATTTACATCCAGATTTTCAAGTTTAGGGCAGCCAGATAAAAGGTTAACAAATGTTTCTTCGTCTTGGTACTCCACACACTCAAGACGCAGAGTTCTAAGAGACTTGAGACAAACCGGAGAAGGGACATCAACGAGGACCCAACTCCTGAGTGTCAAGCTCTCTAGAGTATCACAGTTATACAAGCTTGTAGGAAATTTGAAAGACCTTTTCTTAGATATAACATGGAGTACCAACTCACGCACACGGCGTGCGTACGCAATTCCAATCCACATTCCAACATCCACAGAACGACACTTGCCATTCTCAAAATCGAGATGCAAACTCTCTAGAACCGGAGCTTTATTGGAAAGCAAAAGCCTGCTAACAATCTCTGAGTATGTCTCGTGTTCACTTTGATTGTTTTCATAATCAAACTTGAGTTTGGGCACCAGCTTCCAGAGAGACCTCCATGGTTTAGACAATACACTAGTGGCTACAACATCTTTTACTGGAAGTAAAGACAATATCTGCAGAAGCAGAGCTTCAGGCAAGTCACTGATCCTGTCCTCATTCTCAGCACCTCCAATTCTCACACTTTCAAATACCCAAAAGAACAAGACAAACAAAAAATGATGACTTTATCAGTTTGGAACTGGCAATTTAAGAGAACCCTCAGAACGGTTCATAAAAGAGAGATGCAGAGAGTTTGGTTTGGAACTCAAAAAGATGAAACTTTCAAATACCCAAAAGAACAAAAATAAAAAAGGATGAATTCAATAGTCTGGCACTAGCAATTTAAGAAAACTCTCAGAACGGTTCATAAGAGAGAGATGCAGAGAGTTTGGTTTGGAACTCTAAAGGATGAAACTTTCAAATACCCAAAAAAGAGAATGACAAAAATGATGACTTTATTTGGTTTGGAACTAAACAGTTTAAGAGGTAGATGCAAAGAGCGACGCACAACACAAAAGAAAACAAACCTAGAACGGGTCGTAAAAATATACCATCGTTTCATTGTCAAGGATGAGTATGAAATTGAGGACGAACTGAAGTGGAGAGCTCGCACAGGTAACTTATTGCTTTCTTAGTGCTTTCGCATTACAAAACGCTGTTTCAACCTTCGAACGCAGACGCAGCCAAACGCTTTAAAAGATAGTTCTTTTCCGTAGAGAAAGACCTAATTCCTCCTGCTGGCCGCTTCACCCGTCGAGTATGGCGGCGGAAGAAGAGATTGAAGCCAGAACTATTCGGCGGATGTTAGGGTTTCTGAGAGGAGGAGCCTTCTCTGCCTCTTAAAGTGAAAATTGTTGTTTGGCAACATAGATAGTACTGTTTACCTCTAGAGTCTAGATGTTTACAAGAATGTTTCCACAACGCAATGATGCATAAAGCACAAAACCCAAGATTGTGTAACCCTCAACAGTCAACAATACATTAAAAGAAGTTCAGAATTTTGAACCGTTTAAAAACATAGTGCCATACTATATAACTCAACATCTAAAACCAATATGTATGAACTAAAAATCAAGACTGCTCTGTTTTTAGCCAAATAAAGACTGCTCTGTTTTTAGCAAATCATAGGCTGTAGCTTCTTATTTCTGAATCTCTTGTACCAAACGCCAAAGGGATATATAGCTTATATCAAATCTCAAACCCCCAAAATTGTATCACCATCTCACCATATCAAAAGATCCAAAACATATTATTAGAAACTGGTTGAACAAAAAGCATAGTAACTAAAAGTTATATAAGACTCTCGCTAACAAGCAGGAAAGACTTCTCTCCAACCCAGTCGCTGTGATCAAAATGAGAGCGTAACACATGAAATATATGTTATTATTAAGATCCTCAAACCTACTAAACAAAAAACTGTTGACAAATGAAACATTGCTTACATTAATGAGCTTGAGGGCTTGCAGATTAGGAGAACTCTCAAGCATAAGGGTAATTTGATTCATGTGTAAGTAGCTCCAAATGTACCAGCTGATGGAAGATGCTACCGGTGGGAAACTTAGCCTATGCATGAGACAGTATTAATTAGTAACATATAAACAAAATATAATACATATCAACTAAAAACCTGAAACTCTACCTTCAAGGGTGATAAATCCAAGATAAGACGTCTGACTGAAGTAAGAGACCCCAAAAGGTTTTCAATGTTTATATCAGAGACATCAATGATATGTGCCTCTACCAGGGTAGTCACATTCTTCATTAGAATAGACCTAGGACAGTGATTCCCTATTTCAGTCTTCAAGTATTTCAAAGAAGGAACATTTATCATTCAAAGTATATATAAATCTAATAAAACTTTAAAGGCAAAAACTCTAATAAAATTCTCGTATCCATTAAAAGTCTTTTACTTAAACCATATTCAAGGTACGACTTTTGTAGGAACAAATTTGGACTTTTTCAGTGGAAGAGCTTCCTTGCATAATAAGTAAGAACAGTCTGTATATGTTACCAAATCAAAATTTCAACCAAATCAGAGATCTTGGGTCTGCTTGGTCAGAAATTGAGACTCCTCAGTTTTTACCATTCTTATTTTCATTTAACAAACATATTATGTTTTCCAAATCTTAATAATGTGGTTAAGAAAGTAAAGATCACAAGCCCAAAAATTTCAACCTTAAATAATACATGGCGATAGAGTTCAACTTAACATCTTATTAAACCAATGTCCTCTAGAACCGAGTGAAGTAAGAGATGGATGTGGTTCAACTCAACATCTTATTAAATCAATGTCCTCTAGAACCGAGTGAGTAAGAGTCGGATGTGATATCAGCTTCTTTGAACACAAGCTGGCATGAACTCGAGGCCATGGCCACATTCTTCAGTTGATTCACCCACTTAAGTCTCCTAGGACGAACATATGCATTGTAGAAACTTGCCTTTTTCAAACAACTCGCATTCCTTAGGATGTATTTCGCAATCTCTTTATCATCTTTTATTTCCCCTTGGTAAAATTTCCACACCAACGTCTCGAGATGGAGCAACAAACATTCAGGAACATATGTTGGTTTCTTCCATTTCATATAGACCTCATCAGGATCTTCCCTCCTATAAACCTTCTGAGATCAACGAGGGAGAAGCACAATGTATATAATTAGATATATATACTCTCTTGAGAGTTATTACTCTCTTGACTCAACTCTTCGTATCTCTCTTGATTCGACTCTTCGTATCTCTCTTGACTCAACTCTTCGTATACTCTTCTTGACTCAACTCTTCGTATCTCCTTCTTGTTATTCTCTTCTCATTGATTAGTAATCTCTTCGATTTCCTCATCTTTTGTATCTAGTACCAATTTATCTCCTTATTTAATGATAACCATCAAGTTTGAAGTTTCCCAAAATTATCTCTTAACGTTAGGTTTGGAGGTGCTGGCTCTAAACTCTAAAGCTTTTCTCCAAACAAAACGTTTTTACAGAACCCAACTATATATATAGCTAGTGTTAGGAATTTTGCATCTTCAAATGGTCAACCAAAAGCCATACTAAGAACTAAATATCCAAAACATATGTAGTACTTTAAATGTGGTACTTCTTTACAATCTTTACTTTTGTACCAAGTAAATCAAGACTACTCTGTTTTTTTAGCCAAATCAAGACTGCTCTGTTTTTTTGGCAATTCGTAGGCCTTATTAGCTTCTTATTTCTGAATCGCTTATACCAAACACCAAAGGGATGTAGCTTATATCAAATATCAAAATCTCAAAATCCCAAAATAGTATCACCATCACACTATATAACATACAGTATATAGATTTAATTAACTAATAAATAGAAATTACTACACAAAAAGTCCCACATCGGAAAATGTGAAATACAAAGAGTGATTTATATATGAAGAGAGAAGAGGTAATGTTCGCTGAGCTCTGTAGCGAGGGCTTGTGACTCAAGTGAGAGCAAACAAGTAATTGGAACGTTCGTTTGGTCCACGTGGTAGAGTTTAGGCTGGATTTTCACTGACTCGCCCGATCCAAGTCAGGAGATGTGCTTCGTGTTTCGAGCGAAGGCTCGGGTCACGTGGTTCTTAGAGCGGAGGACATTGCGTGAGGCTGGTTTCACAGAGCAGCGAATACTTCCCGCTTCTGGTAGTGGATGGATAACGAGTCGGTTCCGCTTGAGCTCAATATGATCTCATGGGCCGAACTCAATTGGACCAATTACTTTTTTTTTAACACCTTACTTATATTATTTTTTCTTGTTCATTTATTATTAAAATTCGGCTGATAGTTTTTTTATTTTATTGAATTAGGCTATATATTACACAATTCAGTAATTATGTCAACTGAATTTTCACTTTGTATTTTAATTATATAATTTTACATCATATATTTTATCATGTAGTTACTAAGTTTAGTCTTAATTTCCGCCACTTAACTAGACTAACTAATTTTTAATATATTTATTTTCATTTATCCTAATAAGAGTTTTTTGTTTTGTTTTTGCTCTTCCTGATATATAATAGTGTTTAACACTTTTATTAAAGAATTGTCAATTTTCATTTTATATTTTTTTCCTAATCATATATTTTATCTTATAGCTAGTTTTAGTTCTAATTTCATTGTGCCACTCAACTAGAGTAACTAAATTTGTACTCAGCTCAACTCTTAAAATAGCTGTATAACTAAAACCTGATCAGTTTGTTATTGTATGCCGACGTTAAGATTTTTCTGGCGAGAGAGGTTTTGAAGCAGCGTATGAGTTTTTTTTTCTGATCAGTAATTCATATTAATTAAGCTGTTATTATTGTGTTATTACATCTTCACCGTTGAGTTCTTGCACATAAACAATTAACAGCCGTAGGATCTCTTCGGAACCCTAAACCGGCTCAGGTTTTGGGTTTTGCTTCCCCTCTCTCTGTATATATATATCAAGAAGTGATCGATCATTATTGTTCATCGCTTTCTTCTCTTTGATTTATCTTTTCTTATCATCTCTTTAGGGTTTTGCATGGATTTGCGATTGATATGAGTATTCATAGAGGTAACTTGTTATTATTCATAGAGGTAATTTTTGGTTTCGTGGAGGGCACGACATTAATTCTTGTCCCAACTCTCCTTCCCTCCGGACTGTGAGTCTTGATTCCAGCATACTACAAAGAGGAATGTATACAAAATGGTCTTGTTTTAGAGATTACGACCTTGTGATTATATATAAGTGTGTGTAATGACTTAACAAAACAAGAAGTTTCACATTCAATATCTCGTGTCTCTCTCTCTTGTTCAAGTCTCTGTTCTTTTCAAGTTATTAACAAAACCAATGCGTTTCAGATTTTTTTTGTAGAATTTCTTTATGCATTGAACAAATACAAGAAATCTCAACATCACATTCTTAAAGCTTTGTTTGTATTTTAAAGCATACAAGTGGGTTCATGCTTCTGAGTTGCTAACTAAATCCATATGTAAATCTTGTTCCTTGAGATAAAACTTGTAGAATTGAGTTACATATTCCTAGAAACGGGTTGAACAAAAAGCATAATAACTAAAAGTGATAAAGTTATATATCCCTAATATATAATTTTCATTTGACCAGAAGCTGGCATGACTTTGAAGCCCAGACCACACTATTCAAATCCTCGACCAGCTCAGCTTTCTCTTTAGGATCGTCCACGAATTCATAGGAGAAAATTGCTCTCTTCAAACGATTTTTGTTACTTAGTAAATATTTCGCCACTTCAATCTCGTCTCGTTTCCATTTATAATAACCTTCCAACATGAATGTATCAAGATGAAACAACAAACATTCAGGAACATTCTTTGGTTGATTCCACGGGGAGCCTTCTCTCCAACCCAGTTGCTGAGACCAAACACATGCAATGCATGTTATTACTGAGATCATCAAACCTACTGAGCTTGAGGGTTTGCAGATTAGGAGAACTCTCAAGCATAAGGGTAATTTGATTCATGTGTAAGTAGCTCCAAATGTACCAGCTGATGGAAGATGCTACCGGTGGGAAACTTAGCCTATGCATGAGACAGTATTAATTAGTAACATATAAACAAAATATAATACATATCAACTAAAAACCTGAAACTCTACCTTCAAGGGTGATAAATCCAAGATAAGACGTCTGACTGAAGTAAGAGACCCCAAAAGGTTCTCAATGTTTATATCAGAGACATCAATGATATGTGCCTCCACCAGGGTAGTCACATTCTCCATTAGATAGACATAGGACAGTGACTTCCTAATTCAGTCTTCAAGTATTTCAAAGAAGGAACATTTATCACATAGCCTCCACGCGCCTTACTGTAATCATAAATTGTTAGTCTTTGTAAGGATGGCACCGCAATAGTAAAAGCCCCCACATTGTTGTATGGATATCGACGCACCATCAGATTTTCAAGATTAGGACAACCGGCTAAGAGGTTAACAAAAGATTCTTTGTCGCTGAAGTCTACATAGTAAAGATGCAGAGTTCTAAGGGATTTCAGACAAACTGAAGAAGGGACACCCATAAGAACCAAATACTTGAGTTTCAAGGTCTCTAGTTTTTCAAAGCTATACAACCTTGCAGGGGTTCTGACCCATTTTACAGGTTGAACTTGGAGTACCAGCTTACGCACACTACGGGAAATTGCTATTCCAATCAAGATTCTAAACGAACTTTAAAATGCAGACTCTGTAAAAATGGATCCTTGTGAGAAAGCATAGTCTTGCGGACGTTCTTTGAAAATGTTCCGCCTTTAAGGCTGTGATAGTAAGAATCAAACATGAGTTTCGGCAGCATCGTCCAAAGGGACTTCCATTGTTTAGACAAAACACTCGTGGCTATGGCCTCTCTTGTAGGAAGCAGACGCATTATATGCAGAATCAAAGCTTCAGGCAACTCACTGATCCTGTCCTGTTTCACAACATCTCGATGATTAATACCCTCGTTAACTTTTTTGCTGCCAATTAAACACCACAAGGTCCACAACAAAAGACATGAACAAGTTTAGTTACGTTTCGAGGTTTGGAGATTAACAATTAATAAAATCTTAAAACATACAACGAAACTAACCTTCGTTTCATTGACATCCCAACGAGTACGACTAAGGTAGAAGAGCTAGGGTTTCAGAAGATAGTGTATGTATGTGTAAGACTCTTGAGCACTGAAACCTCTAATGATTTTACCATTTGGTCAACTTATATGAATTGACATCGAACCGGTTTTATGAATTGTAACATGGAAACCGGTTAACATATATTACACCATTTGATTTTTGGTTCACTTGGTCAGAAATTGTGTGAGTGCCTTTTTTCGATCAAACCATTCTTAGCTATCCTTCCAAATGGCAAGAAGTTACGACTAGAGATAGAATATTCAGAAGCATAAACACAAAGCCAAGATTATATAACCTTTAAGTTAGGGTCCTTAACAATACACATATGACATATGGTTCAGAATTCGAAGCCATGACCACATCACTTTTCAATTCCTCCAACCTATCAAGTCTGTTTTCAAGACGCATATGTGCATTCATTGTATTTAAAACCGATATATAGAAACCAATGACACAGCATGATAGAAATTAAAAACTTGCATGCGATCACAAAGACTAGTTAATAATTATATTCAAGTTTGAAGTATTTGAAGCCCTGACCACACGTTCCAATTCTTTGACTATCTCAACTCTCTCTTCCGGAATAATTGAAAGTTTGGAGAAAACTGCTTTTTTCAAACAACTTGCGTTCCTTAAGATGTATTTCGCCACCTCTTTCTCATCTTCTAGTCTCCCTTTGTAAAATCTCCACACGAATGTTTCCAAGTGGAGCAACAAACATTCAGGAACATTCTTTGGTTGAGTCCACACAAAATCTTCAAAATCTTGCTTTTGCTGCGACAAACAAGGAGAAACAAGCTAAAAAGAGCTGGAAAAAGAGCTGAAAACATGAATTTTACAATGCTTACACCGATGAGCTTGAGGACTCGTAAATTAGGAGAGCTATCAAGCATGGCCGTAAGTAGATTACACCAACCAACTCTATATGTACACAACTCCAAACATACCAACTGATTAAAGATGCTACCCGTAGGAAATGTTATCTATACATGAAGGTAATATTAATAAGTAGCTAGCTAGGGAAACAATGCACCAACAAGTAACTCAACTAATTACCTCCGAGGGTGGTATCTTCAAAGCAAGAAGTTTGAATGAATCGAATGATGCCAGAATATTGTTCAGTGCATGAACCAGATCAGGGGCATTCTCAATCAGACGAGACCTGAGAAGAAGACCCCCTTCAATTTTCAAGTATTTCAGTGAAGGAGCACTTATCACATATGGTAGATAAAAATCGTTAACAATAATTGTTAGCCTCTGTAAGGATGGCACAGAAATAGTGAAAGTGTCCACATTATCACATCCAATTCGATCAACAACCAAATTTTGAAGACAAAAACAGCCACATAACAGGTTGAGAACCGATTCATCCCCTTTGAAGTCCACATGGGTAAGGTGTAGAGTTCTAAGGGACTTCATGAAAACAGGAGAAGGGACATCTACAAGAATGGAACTACCAAGCTTCAAGGTCTCTAGTGTTTCCCAGTTATACAAACTTATAGGAAGTTTGAAAGGCTCGATAGAGTAAGCTTCGAATACTAACTCGCGCACATGGAGTCCAAACATAGTTTCCATCAATATTTCAATATCCATGCTAGGTTCACTAATTAAACTGATATCGAGAGGTTCACTAATTAAAGTGATATCGAGATGCAAGCTTTGTAAAACCGGAGCCTGATAAGTAAGCAAACACCTACGGACATTATCTGAAAACCTCTCTAGACCATTTTCGGGATTGTAAATGAACTTTAGATTAGGCACCATCATCCAAAGATACCTCCATCGTTTAGCCAAAACACTCATGGTTATAACATCTTTTGTCGCAAGTAATGACAATATCTTCAGAAGCAAATCATCAGGTAACTCATTGATCCTATCTTCATTCACATAACCTCCGATTCTCAAACTTTCACCTCTGCTTTTGCTGTCAAAAACAACAACAAAAAATAGCAAAAGAGCATAGTTAAGAAAAACCCTAGAAACGCTTCATAAAAGGGAGACAACAGTAAAACACACGTATACAAAATTAAACACACCTTCGTTCCATTGACGCTAGCTCTTGGATATGGAGCGATCCAATTCCTGATGGAGGCAAAATTACGGGGTAAGTTAGGGTTACGAGTAGGAAGACGAGGCGGTGCCGTTGTCACAATTTTACTTTCGGCCCGGTGAGAGATTATTTAATTTCGATTGGATACAAAACCGGATTTTGGAAAAAAATAAGGTAATAAAAAAAGTTAGCTTAAAATTCCAGACAAGTTAAACTAACATAAGTACATAACACTTGTCATAACAGAGACTCTAAAAACAGTGTATACAAGTCTCATTTGAACACAAGCTGGCATGAATTCGAAGTCATGGCCACATTCTTCAATTCATCCAACGACTCAAGTCTCTTTTCAGGACGAATATATGCATTGGAGAAAGTTGCCTTTTTCAAGTGACTCGCATTCCTTAGTATGTATTTCGCAACCTCTTTATCATCTTTTATTTTCCCTTCGTAATCTTTCCACACTAATGTCTCGAGATGGAGCAACAAACATTCGGGAACACGTTTTGGTTTATTCCATTTCATATGGGCCTCAGGATCTACCCGCGGAAACCCCATCTGAAACCAACGAGAGGGGAAAGACAATGTATATAAGATCCTCTAACCTTGAAACTGAACTGGAATTTATATCTAAATATAAACTTGAAAATCAAATGCTTACGCTGATAAGCTTCAGGACTTGTAAATTAGGTGAACTATCAAGCATAAGCATAAGAACATTCCACCACTCTGGCTCAAATGTATATAGCTTCAAAAATACCAGCTGGAAGAAGATACTACCAGTAGGAAACGTGATCTACGTATGAGACAATATTAGAACAAATGCAAAGTAATAACTAATAGCAACAACATGAAACTAAATCAATTGCAAGAAAGCTTACCTCTGAGGGTGCTGATATCTCCAGAGAAAGGCGTTTGACTGATGTGACGGATCTAAGAATGTTCTCAAAGACTGAAATGATTTGGCCATCCGAACTAGTAAAATGTCTATCTCTCAAACTTGCCTGCAGCAGCTCAGGTGTATTCTCGATCAGACAAGTCTCATCAGCTAAAACGCCTTGAATCTCCAAGTATTTCAAAGCAGAAGCATTTATCACATAGACCGAGTCCTCATCATCATTTTCAGCAGAAAGTGTAAGCCTCTGCAAGGATGGAACCGCAATAGTGAAAATCTTCACATCAGTTTGTTCCAATCGATGAACCACCAAATTCTCCAAGCTAATACAACTAGATAAAAGGTTAAAAACCGATTCATCGTCTTTGTACCTCACACCGTCAAGGTGTAGAGTTCTAAGAGACTTCAGACGAACCGGAGAAGGGACATTTATAAGAATGTAGTGACCAAGGGTCAATGTCTCTAGCGATTCAGAGTTAAAGAAACTTCTAGGAAATCTGAAAATCTCCCAACACCGTAAACGTAGAGCTCTAACTTACGCACATGGAGTCCAAACGCAATTCCTACCAATATCCCAAGATGGATATAAAATTCATAACTAGAATCCATATCGAGCCGCAAACTCTGTAGAAAGGGAGCTTGATGTGAAAGCAAACACTTGCTGATATTATCTGAAACCACCCGATCATCAAACTCAAGACTCGGTACCATCTTCCAAAGAGACCTCCATCGTTTAGCCAAGACACTCATGGCTACAACTTTCTTTGTTGGAAGTAAAGACAATAACTGAAGAAGCAAAGCTTCAGGCAACTCACTGACCCTATCCTCATTGCTCAAACTTTGACCACAACTTTTGCTACATATATATAAAAAAAGCCCCAAATTCAAGAAACGAAATACACTAAAGCTAGTTTGTGCAGAGCGCATACTTAGAAATTAAAGAAACCCACAATATAAGCCCACACAGAAGAAACATACCATCGTTTCATCATCATTGTCGTTGACAACAATTGCGCAAAAAAAAAATCAACAAGAAGAAGAGATCTGCTGGTGAATCCTATTGAGTGCTAGCTACTCCGACACTGTGAAAATTGACGGCGGTGAGTAATACCGATTCAGCCGCGCATAATCCAACCAAGAAAGCTTCACCGCAAACCCAAATCGCATTGTCGGGTTAAATCCTTAGCGTCACCATCGCCACCGCCTTCGGGAGAAAGGACCAAGAAGTCGGTATCGATCGGAATTGGAAAGCTGTGGTTACAGCCGGAGGGTTCGAATGAGTGTGATACTGACTGCTCACGTGCGATGCACGGGTTTAGAAGGTATTATCGTAATTAACCGGGGTTTGTTACTGTGAATATGGTTATTGGTTTGGGCCTGACTCAAGTAACCCAACTCGGAGGAGAGGACAACATGCTCGACTTGTGGATCAAAGAGGATCACAGTATGGATTAATTCTAAAATTTTATGTCAAAGTCTCATACATCATAGAGTTAAGAAAATACAAACATTTACTCAAATAATTTAATTATCATATGATATTTGAAAACTTTAATTCTAAAATCATACTTACTGACTATTTTCTTTCTAGTAAACTATAATTAGTTTATATATACTTTATGTATTGATGGATCATTAGAAGTTTGCTAATATAATTTTTACATTTTTGTATACAAATTTAGCAATTTTCTTTTCAAAAAGTGATTTTCTTATTAAGCTAATTAAATATCAGAAAACCATGTCTATCGTAGTTTGTGAAACCCAGTTTTTCATATTTAAATTTTGTCGGATTCGGAAATCTTTACTTCTGTCTTTGAACTTAGATGAGTTACGGTTACTAAGCTACCACGATTGCTACACGACATATATTCTATAAATCTTTTTAACTGCATCTGTAATTTGTCAATTGGTCAACAGATTCTTCGGCGGAAACTATGTTATTATCTTTGGATCTATAAATCTTTTTAACTGCATCTGTAATTTGTCAATTGGTCAACAGATTCTTCGGCGGAAACTATGTTATTATCTTTGGATTCTTCTTATTTTCTCAATATGAAGTGTAAGAATACACGGAAGCTATGTAAAAGAAGTAACCGTTAAAGCTGTAAAATATCGAAACATGTTTATTGCGTACGCAACAAAAGATCAAAGAGTGTTAAACCCTAAAACTAGCAATAAAGCTGTAAAATATCGAAGCATGTTAATTGCATACGTAACAAAAAGATCGAAAGAGTGTTAAACCCTAAAACTAGCAATAAAGCATATACTACTTTGATATTTGTATCTAAAACAGATTTTGATGCTTTAAATTTGTTCTTCTCTTTTTTCCACCAACATATTTTTTTGGACTTTAATTAAACTCAAAGGGATGATTAAACATCTAAATGCAATTGAAATATTACTACTATTACTATAGTTTTTGTGTGTGTTTTGGATTCAAAAGAAACAATTAATAACTTGTCAAAAAAAGGGAAGAGATGTTTGACCCTCCCACTGGCGGTCAAACCCAAATAATGATAATCACTTTCTTTCCCTGTCATCAATCTTTGACTTTTGACTCTTCCTTATAATCCGTTACGATTTCGACACGTGTCTTACTTCTCTCCTCGTATAAATCCAACCAGAGATTTGACGCCGTTGGATCATATCCTTTGTATGCTGTTATCTGGGTTCCGTCTCCGTCTCTCTCTGTTTCCGATCTGTTTTTTTTTGACCAAAAACTTTTCACAAAGAAGAAAACTTTTTTTTTTCTTTCTTCTTCTTCTTCAATGTCGTTGAACATATCTGAGGATACTTGAATCTCACTCTTTGTTTCTCTTCTCTGTTTCTCCGATTTAGTCTTTCAATTCATCTCTTTCTCACTTTCTTTCTTTTTGGAGATTTCGATCCGCAGAGGTTTTTTGTTAATTTTGACTGAGGAAAATTTCTTAAATTAGGGTTTTTGAATTTGATCTCATTCTAAAGATGAAAGCTTCGATTGAGAAGTTAAGGAGGTTAACATCGCATTCGCATAAGGTCGATGGTAAGGATAAAGGAGAGACTGTGGCTACAACACAAATTGACGAACTCGCTCGTGCCGGGAAGGTAAGAGAAAATTACTCTTAACTTCATTAATTTCGGAAAATTATTGTAATTTATTGTTCTCATGAACTTGGGTTTTCGCTGAATCGTTGAGATTTTAGTAGGGTTTATGCGAATGGTTTAGTTTAATTTTTGGAGTTTTCTCGATGTTTGATCGGCTGATCGCTCTATACGAAAATTACGAGTGATGGACCAAATTTAGAAACTTTTTGATTGGTAGCAAATCTTATCACTTAGATGATATCTAACACATAGCTTCATGAATTACTATGGAAGAAGCACTGTGTAATTTAGTAATTTGAATTTGACTTTTAACTGTATCGAAATTTTCCATTTTCGTTTTGAATGTTATGATAGTAACATTGTAGACACTGTTCTCTTTGTGATTCTTAGGATATGCAAGACATGCGAGATTGTTATGATAGACTACTCGCTGCAGCAGCTGCCACGGCTAATAGTGCTTACGGTAAAGAAACATCTATCCAATTGTTGTCTGTCATATGCACAATGCAAATAGGTTTCTGTAGAAAAATTCCATTCTTACACTCTGTTGTTATACTTTGGTGGAGTTTAGAGTTTTCTGAGTCACTGGGAGAAATGGGTTCTTGTTTGGAGCAAATTGCGCCTCATAACGACGAAGAAAGCAGTAAGCGCTTAAGATTTAGGCACTTACATAATTTTACTTTACTGTGTATAATACTGTAGTGTAACATTGTTTTTTTTCTTTTCTTGTGTAGGTAGAATCTTGTTTATGCTAGGTAAAGTTCAGTCTGAGCTTCAGAGACTTCTTGATACATATGTAAGTTGCTCGTTGCAAACATGAATTCCGCAAATGCTCTGGAAAAAAAAACTTACTTGGTCAGGTGTTTTTTTCTTCAGCGTAGTCATATATTCAAAACTATTACATCGCCATCAGAGGCGCTTCTCAAGGACCTCAGAACTGTTGAGGTATACCACAATTTGCTACTCTTGTAATCAACAAATGCTTTTACTTTTTTCCACTTATCTTTTTTATCTTCATAAATGAGCAGGATATGAAGCAACAGTGTGATGAGAAGAGGTTTGTTAATTTTCCACTACTGAAGTTTTCATTTTATAGTTTAGATGAAGTTTTATAATTTTCTCCTGAATGTTTTCATTTCAGGACTGTGTTTGAAATGTCGCTAGTGAAAGATAAAGGAAGGCCTAAAAGTAGTAAAGGAGAGAGACATATTCCTCCTGAGTCTCGACCTGCCTACAGTGAGTTTCATGACGAAGCAACAATGTGCATCTTTCGATTGAAATCTCTTAAAGAAGGACAAGCTCGTAGCCTCCTTACTCAAGCAGTCCGTCACCACACTGCTCAGGTAAATCTTGTGTTCAAATTTCGTCTATTTAATTCTCAATGAACTTTGGTGTTTGTCTTTTGTGTTTCTGACTTTCTTTCTTATAATTATTTGTAGATGCATTTGTTCCACACTGGACTGAAATCGCTTGAGGCAGTTGAGCGTCGTGTAAAAGTTGCTGCACTGAATCAACACATTGATTGTGATCTATCTGTTCATGGGAACGAAGTGGAAGCTAGCGAGGATGATGATGATGGTGATGGCCGATACATGAACAGAGAAGGAGAACTGAGTTTTGATTACAGAAAAAATGAGCAGAAGGTCGAAGCTGCTTCTCTCTCTACACCAGGGGGCTCAGTGAAGGTAAGTTGAGTTTGACAGTAAAACGTTACATACATACATCACCTATAAAGATTTTTCTTATGCTGCTCTCTTTTTATTTAGGTGGATGATACAGACCTGTCGTTTCCTCGCCCTTCTGCAATACGACCAGCAGCGGTACGCTTTTTTCAATATTTGTGTACCAAATGCTCTCAGCTGCTATTAACCTGGTTGATGAGAATCTAGTGTTATAAGTATTTTACTTTTCTCTTGGAAAGGTATATGCTGATCATAGAGAAGAATATCCAGTTTCAACTCGCGATAAGTATTTGAGCAGCCATTCAGCTCCGCTGTTCCCAGAAAAAAAACCTGATGTATCAGAGAGGTTGAGACCGGCGAATCCATCTTCTAATGCCTACGTATTACCAACACCAAACGAGTCAAGGTACCCTAAACCAGCTTCCCAAGCTTTAAATCCGAGGCCAGTAAACCACAGTGCCGGAAACATATGGCATTCATCTCCGTTGGAGCCGATAAAAAGCGGGAAAGACGCAGAAAACAACAACCTATACGGCCGGGTCCCTCGCCCTGCTACAACAGACACGCATCATCATCAGCAACTGCAAGCAGCAGGAAGACATGCATTTTCTGGACCACTGAAACCGTCCTCAACAAAACCCATCACCACCGCGGACAGTTACTCAGGCATGTTTTGTCCTCTCCCGACTCCTCCAGTGCTCCAGCCTCATCCTCTTCCATCATCTTCTCCAAGAGTCTCCCCTACAGCTTCACCTCCTCCTGGTTCTTCCCCGAGGCTCAACGAGCTTCACGAGCTTCCAAGGCCCCCAGGCCACTTTCCACCACCTCCAAGACGAGCGAAATCCCCGAGTCTGGTTGGTCACTCGGCACCTCTAACCGCATGGAACCAAGAAAGAAACACCGTCACTGTTGCTGCTCCATCCGCCACCAACATTGTAGCCTCCCGGCTTCCGATTCCTCCCTTGGTCATCCCTAGAAGCTACTCTATACCTTCAAGAAACCAGAGAGCTGTTTCTCAACGGCCGGTCGAAAGGAGCGATGGTAGCGTAGCAGTAGCATCCCCACCGTTAACACCAATGAGCCTGTCTCGGCCACTTCCTCAAGCCACGGGAGTTGCTCAGACCAGTCAAATCAGAGGTAAAACATCAATTAGAATGACACTTTGAAAATACACACGCAAACAACTTGAAATGTATTGAATTTCATAATTCATTATTATAGTTTGCTGTGGATTTATTTAACACCTCCTTAGGTTATTAATCATGCAGGAGTAGGAAAGCTGATCGAACGATGAAGCTGCCGCTGGTTGTACAAAATTCAGAGATCTTCCATAAGTGAATATAGAGAGAAGTCCCTTAATATGTATTTATTCTTTAGTTGGTTAATCTCGTTTCTAGGTTTCTTTTTAATCCATTGTAAATCTGAAGCCTCTGTTCTTCATTCTCAATCCTTTCTTCTTTATTACATCCGAATCCTTAAAATATAAAATCTCCAAAAATTTCAAAGTACATATATTAATACCAAATTAAGCCGATGAAACAAAATTAATTAACTCTAATTATTAATGGATTTATATACTTTTGCGATAAAAAATGGTAAAAGAAAATTATCCCGTTGAGTTTATTTGATAGAGGATAAAGATATCTTGGGACTAGAGGAGGAGGAGGAGGAGGAGGAAGAGACCGATCATTCGTCGTCGTCAATGGAGATTTCTGCGTCTGCTTCTTTAACTTCATCTGGACTCGTCCCTCGTCTTCTTCCCTTGCTCTATCCTCATGCTCCGACTACTTACTGCAAGCCGTTGCTGTCTTCTTCTTCTTCTATTAGACTCGTTTCTTCTCACAGACGTATCATAGCTCCGTCTCTGTGTCTCGCCGATCAATCTGCCTTCACCGGTTAGTTTTCAAACCTTAGTTGAGAGATGCCTAAGTCTAGTGCGAGACCTTTAGTTTCAATTGCATATGTGAACAAAGTGTTCGATGATATGTCTAATGCTGAATTAGTCTAAAATTTTGTTGCTTTTTGTCCTGATTCTTTCTTAGAATTGATGCAATGAGTAACGGCTGCACGAGAAAACGAAGTTATGAGATTAAATTTATCTTTTCGATTTTATTGTTTGTTGCATAGGGACCAGTGTTGTTGATTCGGAACCCATAGATGCTGTAAAGGTTAGAGTTTTCACTAGAACTATCTTACATATGTTACCAGCTTTGCTTGCTTTATACTTCACAAGTTCATTATCTCTTAACCATTTCCGTCTGAAACTCAGAGGAAAGCTATGGACATAGCCCCTGAACTAAAAGGAGCTTCAATATTTCTGGTTGGTAAGGCTGGCTTGGCTACGCCCCCAATTTTTAAACTAACTATGTACTTCATATGGATAGAAATGTGATTTTGTGAGCTTTGTTACTCGGGAACAGGGATTAATAACCCCATTAAAACGAACACGGGAAAGCTTTTGGCTGAGGCATTACGATATTACTACTTTGATAGGTAAAGCACTTGTAAGTTCATCATATCAGAACCTCAGTGTGCTTTTATTGTGTTTTTTTGGAACCATTATAGTTGTTGAGAATTTCCAGAATCTCTGACATTCTCTCTTTTACTTATATGTACTTATCTTTGTTGAAATCCAGTTTGCAATACGTATGACTTTCTTATATTATCCTGTTTCTTAGCTTTATCCGAGCATTAGTGTTAAGCTTTAAACTCTAAGCTCTCTGTTTGGTCCTTTACCTCCATAGCACAGGGTTGCCACTTTATTCTTCTTCTCCTCGTGATAGTTTCACATTGAATGTTCTCAAGTCCTTTCACATTAGTTAATTGCCCTAACTTTTTGTTTACTTTTATTGTGTAGTGATAATTTGATCACTGAGGCGGCTGGTGGAAATTTGTCCGCTCAAGCTTTAAAGGAAGCTGATGAGAAGGCTTTTCAAGAATCAGAGGTAACTGCTAATTGATTTCAGTTACAAGATACTGAGTCAAAAGGAATCTGAATGCCCACATGATTGTTTTTGGCAATGACTCTCTAACATGTTTCTGCAGACTGAAGTGCTAAAACAGCTATCATCTATGGGTCGGCTTGTAGTTTGCGTTGGAGATGGTGCAGTCCAGAGCGTGAAAAATCTGTATGTTCAATATAAGTTGCAGTAGTTTCTATCTATCAGTTTCGAGCTTTCAGGGGACATACATACCTGCTCCTATCTTTTTAATTTCTCTCATGTCTGTTCTCATTTGAACAGTTCACTTCTGAGACATGGGATCTCCATATGGATCGATGTTCCTCTGGATATAGCTGCTAAAGGGGATGATGATTCATCCAATTCAGAACCTTCTTCTAAGGTTTTTCTTCTTCCATTCTTCTGTACTGCTTAAAGTTTCTATTATGTTATTACAAAGAAACTGACCATGATGGATGAACACAGTTGTTTGACACACTAAAAGCGAGTTACGAAAAATCAAGAAAGGGTTACGAAACAGCAGATGCATCAATTTCCCTTGAAAGTAAGAATCCATCGATCTTAAAGCCAAATAATATTCTTGACAGTTTTCATTATACGACTGATTCTGCTTTGTTTACTTGGAAACAGAAATAGCCACAAAGCTGGAATTTGAAGACTTGGAAACGGTAACTTCTGAAGACATTGCTTTGGAGGTAAGTCTTTGTTTTTTTTCTTTTCCATTTTGACTTATGATCGCAAATGTGAAAAGTTTATATGAACAATGGTTCGTTCATCAGGTTCTGAAAGAAATTGAGAAGCTGACGAGAGTGAAGAAAATGATGGAAGAAGCTTCACGACCTTTCTAGGTCGATCTTATTCTCATTTCATATGGATTTATCTTGTATGTAGTATATAGTCTCGACACCAAATGTAGCTTTTTGCATAAAAATTTATTTTATACTCTCCAACTAATGAAGGGGACTACAGACACTGACATTTGTAATACAAGAGAGGCTCATCAGCTTTGGGTGGTGGAGAATCAATGAATCATCATCATCGCCATTTGTCGTCTTCTCTCTCACGTGAGATCGATCACGTGCTGGGCTTTGTCAATTTGATCCACTAGTTTGTGGGCCTTGATATTATGGCCCACTAAGGGATAAGACTGGGAAAAAAGTGAAAAGGGCATAAAAATAGAAAAAAAACACATCCAATTCCCAACAGCTTTCTTGTCTCTCGACGTTTTAAAAAAAAAAACAATTTATGTTTTCTCCATTTTTACTGTTCATTAGAGTTATTATTAACGGTAAAAAAAATGAGAAACGGTAAGCTTTTTAGATTAATTAATGATTTTAATAACAATGTAATAAAAGTATACGAAAATTCATGTCTTAAGAAAATAAGTGTGAGATGTGTTAATGGCGATGAGTTTTATTGGGATTTGTTTTTATTTTTATTTTTAATTTTTTTATAAACAGAAGAGAGAGAGAGATAAGGGAAGAAGAGAGAGAGAGAGGTACCTCTTTGCTTCTTCATTCTTTCTCTCACCCCTTTTTTTTAAGAATCTGTCTCTTCTTACCTTTTGGATTCGTCTCTTCTTCATCCTCTTCTTCGTTTGATTTCTAATTTTGGATCCAGAGGGTTTATATATTCTGTGAATGATTCATCAGATTTTGGACTTGTTCGTCTGATATGTTTTTATTGCTTCATCGGTGCGTCTTTTCATTGGGGTTTTTATCTGTTTTTTTTCGTGGTTTTGTTTTATCAGAGTTTCGTGAGTTGTTGTTTATGATGAGCTGCTTTGTTTTCTGGGTATTTGATGATAATTTTTTAAAATTTTTTTGCAGTGTTTGTTGATCAGATTGATTTGATCACAAGTTTAATCCGTGCAATCTCTGGTTCATTGTGTTTGTGAAATGTGCATGTTGTTGTGGTCTTGGTGATCATTGATATGTTTGGTTCACTTCTTTGCCATTCTTTTAGACGTGTGTGTTCTCTCAGTGATGATGGAAACTTTGAACTTATAATTTTTGAGGATTTGAGATTGAATTTGTTTTTGGTTTATGAAATTTTAGTTTGCTGCTTCTGAATACTGATTTTGTTGAAATAGCTGGTAACAGTGGCATTGTATGAGATCACTTGCCTAAAAGTTTAAACACTTGTTTTATTAATATTTTGGTCTAATGCTGTATTGTTTCAATATCATGATTTGTTTGATCGTTTCTTTCTTCTTTTGATTGGAATCAGTCATAAAGTCTTTTGACCATTTGTTAATAAACTTATGCAATATTTTTTGTCTATATGGATGCTTAAGCTTAAGGAGTCTAGTAGGAAAATTTTGGGTGTATGTCCTTACTGAAATCAATATGTAATTGATTTAGCTTTCTCTGGTTTATTTGTTTCAGGAAAGGGTAACTGCGATGAAATCTGTATCCGTCACCCTTGCATTTCATGTAGTTTCAGACTGCACTGCCATAAACCAGTGTCGGATTAATGTTAAGTGTTTGGTTCCTTGTATGCGGGTCTGTAGGCAAGCAATGCATGAGTTGTGGATGCCTGTGACTGATACATAGTTAGTTCCAGATTTTTAATTTATTGTTCTGCTAGAGATAGAGGTAGTCACTAGTCATTATTGTTATTTTCAAGGATTTGGTGGTTTGTAGGGAGTTTCTTGATAAGTAGGGGTTTGGAAACTGACTTCTCTCTCAGAAGTGACCAGAACCTTTTTACTTGATAGTTTCCTTTGAGCATTGGTTATGGGTCTACCACAGACTGCTTCAAGTGAACAATCCCAGGAAGCTTTGTCTGCTCCTAGTTGTAGCCTTTCGCAAAGTCTGCCTGTGTATGCTACTTCCGATGATTCAGATAGCGTTAACAGAGGAAGTGAGGAAGGAATCTGCTCTTCCATTGGAGAATTTGATAGAAAAACATCATTGGAGCCTCTGGAGTTCACAGATGATTCGTGTAGATTCCATGGCACTCGTGCTGTTACTTCATCGAGTGCTCATGGATCGACTAGTTATGCTGCAAATAAGGTTAGTTCGAGTCTAGCTGGAGCTAGAAGGATAGTTGGTTTTGCCTCAAGCGAAACTAGCTTGCTGGACAACAAAGAAACGAGTATCGCTGTTGATCACTCTCTATCATCCATTGGTGGAGTTACAGGAGTAGATATTGGTGGAGCGTTAGTCAGGAAACGAGTACTCTCCCCCCTGAATACTCTCTTCCCTGTAAAATTTAGAGGTGACCTGTTTGATATCAGCTGTGGTAACCACCAACAAATTACTTATTCTGGTCAGTCTAATACCCCTAGTAGGTTACATCTCTCTACCACTCCTACGACCTCAACCACATCTAGTTGCTGGGAATGGAAGAATGCCTCAAACAGTGGTAGACTCTCGTCCATGGTCTTTACTGATGGTCCAGTGCTTGACTCTGTAGACCTCAGACGACCCACCAAAGGTGAGGTTTGCTTATATTCCCCACCATATGAAGCGTCTGGCATATCCAATAAGCCATTACCTTGTGATAAGGAAATATCTGTCTCACCGCCGCTTTGTCTGTCACCACTTGGTCCGAAGTTTTCTGAGAGAATAAAAGCTGTAAAAATTGGCCAAAATGGGAAGATACTGGAAGATTTAAGGAATATCAGTGAAGAAGCAGAATTAAGAATTGATCAGAGATTATTTGATGATGCATATGCCATTAGGAGAGCGTTTTCAATGGAGAGAAGTACTGAATCAGCTCCGGCATCTCCATGTAAAAGGTTCGTTAGAAGCTTGAGTGGACGCCCCATTCAGAGGTCATTAGTTGGTTCTTTTGAGGAGTCACTATTGACAGGAAGATTGTCATGCGGACCAACAAATCAGGTTTTCATCTTCAACTCTGATACTTTGACGACTCCTCACGTTATAGCTCATAAGAAAGTTACATTCTTTAACTGGTGTTCGTCCCTATTTATGAAAATAAATATGCAACCTTAGAAATTGAGGATTGGTAAAACTGGCTAATCGACTGTTCATAGATTTACCACCCTGCTTATGCAAAAGCTATAACCTCAGAACTAAGTTTTTTTTGCTTTCTGTTTTGTAATCTAGATTCTTGACTTCTGTCTTTTTATGTACAGAAGATTGATGGTTTTCTTGCCGTTCTTAGCATTGCTGGGGGAAACATCTCTCCAAAATCACAGAAGCTTCCATTCTCAGTAACTAGTGTCGGTGATGATTGCTTCTTGCTATACTATGCCTCCATAGATCTCGCAGGGGGATCTAAATTGAGCAAATTATGGGGCCAGAAAATGAAAACAAGTCAAATGAACTCTGATGCTCAGAGTTCGAAGAGCCAACTGCGGATCCCCATGAAGGGTCGGATTCAACTGGTATCTCCTTTCTCTTAATTTTATTTTTTGTGCTATTAATTTTGCATTTTGTATAGATGTTATTGGATTATAAATGTAGGGCTGAGAACTCATTTGATGGTTGCACTAGATTATAACCGCAGTCTTCTTGTGTAAATGATATGGAAAGACAAATTAGTGGTTTAAAAACTGCAACTCTCCCTGAATTTGAAATAGAGTAGTGCTTATGAAGTAATTCTAGCAGTTACTGATGATTTTTCTGATTGCTAGAAGGCAATTTAGTCTTTCAGTTTTAGCAAATTATGACATCTGTTTGAACTTTATATTTTCCCATATAAATGTGTAATTCTAATCCCGACAGTGCTAATAACAGGCTAAGTTACCATGTTACTCATGATTGAACTGCTCTTATGCAGGTTCTTAGTAACCCTGAGAAAACACCTCTTCACACCTTCCTTTGTAACTATGACTTAACTGATATGCCAGCCGGCACAAAGGTAACATCGATCATAAAAGATATCAATCATTCTATTTCTTTCATTTTAAGCAGAGGAAATGATTTTGTGTTCAAGAACTTAAATCATTAGGGAGTAATAGAGGGTATATCTGCTAGTCAGGAGAGTAATTGTTATGCTTCTAGGAAGGCATAAGGTCTCAAGCAAAACGTGCTGAAGTTGCAGTTTCCATTTCCACTTTTAAACTCATTAGTTCATGTTCTGTTGTAATGTACATTGAAGTTTTGAACATTTGGTATTATGCAGACGTTCTTGCGCCAAAAGGTTACTCTGGGATCATCTAATCCAACTAGTGAAGCAACAGAAGAGAACACTAGAAAAGCCAAAAGCTTGGTGAATGAAAACTCTAAACATGGGGAAAAAGAAAGTTGTGAAGGATCTGATCTAGTAGATTCAGTGGAAGAAGATGAGAAATTTGACGAGTTACATGAAAGTGGAAAAAGCTGTTTAAAGCCGTCTAAAGAATGTAACGGTGGTTCTGGTGCTCTACGCTACGCTCTTCATCTGAGATTTCTTTGCCCGTCACCGAAGAAAGCTTCAAAGAAATCTGATGAAACCGAAACTACAGGGCAAAAGAAAAACTTGGATTCAGATGGGAAGAGGAGATTCTATCTGTACAATGATTTGAGAGTTGTGTTTCCTCAACGCCACACAGATTCTGATGAAGGAAAGGTAAGTACAAGATTTGTGTTTTGAGTCTTCACCATCGTTTTGCTAATAGTAAAAAATTAGTTGAGAGATGTAAAAACCATTGTTTGTCTTCGTGTTGCAGTTGAATGTGGAGTACCATTACCCAGAAAACCCAAGATACTTCGACATCACCGACTGAGAAGAACTAAACTGGTTCGGCTTCATGGTTACACAAAAGCTCTATGGTTTCCTTGTTCAAGAAGAAATCAATATGGACTTTTCTGTACATACAAAATTTATAGTCACAATGGCTCTCTGACCTACTTTGTACAGTTTACCATTATGGGGTTTTCTTTTCCAAGAAAACGAAAAAAAAACAAACAAACAAAATAATAAAAAGTCATTTCAAAAGTGTTTAATATTGATATTGGTGATTGGCGATAACATTGTAATTAAGGGTCTAGGATTAGCTAGAATCTATGGTCCAAATCACAATTGATTTAAGAGTAATCCAACTAGTTTAACGATGAAGCAACATGATACCAAATTAGATGTTCTTCGACTCTTGTCTGGATGGACAACAAAGACGGACCAAACCCCTGCTCCAGTCCGATGTCGAGGTCTAGTCCCAAAACTTATTTGTCAACCACGGATAGATTAGTCTCGGATGATTAGATACCTCTCAAGTTGAGAGTCTCAACTATTAATAACAAACTTCTATTTATAGAGATTTAGGAAAAGAAAAATAAGTTTCATTCCAAAAAAAGAAGAAAAAGAAAACTTGTAAAATGCAAAGGTAGCGACATAGATGTTTTATATAAGAAACACAAAAACAAGTCAACACAACAATAGATCTACCAAAATAATCCAAAAATATACAACAATGAAAAATTTCTCAGTTTTTCTATTCGTGTTTGGTCTTTGCATGCTTGGTCATGTATCAGGAGCCGGAATCAGGATTGCGAACGAACTCAAATTCAAGAAACTCCTATGGATGAGATGCTATTCCAAAGATGACGTTTTAGGTCCAAGAATAATACCAATCGGACAACATTTTACAGACTACTTTAGCACTAACTTTTTGGGTACGACACGTTTCATGTGTACTTTGAGACAGGGGCCAAATTATAGACACTATCAGAATTTTACAGCGTTTAAACTTTTTAGTCATACGGATCATGGAGGCCTATGGGACTGGAGAGCTAGAGAAGATGGGATTTATTTAAAGAAAGAAGGTGGTTTACATATTAGGAATCCAGTTAATATGCATAAAGCTTATGATTGGATATATTAAAAACGTTACGAGTTTGTCTTTACGATTGGATATAGCTACTTGAATCTATCTTTTATGTTTAAAATCTTGTAAGAACTCATTTGTGATTCATTTCATTGTTTGTAAATGATCTGTAAGATCATTTTGTGTTGTTAAAACTATACAAAACTTCTAATTAAGGTTCTTTCTCTTTGTAAGAAGGATTATGAAGAAATATTTTCCTAATAAAAATCTGTATTCAAAACAATTTAATTTAAATATTACATCAATTGAATCATATTCGTTTCCCTGGTGTTAAAGAATACGATTTCGACTATTAAAAAGCCATTGTTTTCGTTTTGTAACCGCTAAAACCTATTTAGCTTTTATTTTAAAATTGTGTTATGTTTTATTTAAGAATTTTTGCAGTTTTTAACAATTTTCAACGTTAGATTTCAGTAATTATTTTTCCACTATAATTATAATGAAATCATACCAATCAAGATTTACGAAATAATAAATAATTACTGTATTTAACAACATAAGATAAAATAAAAAATTTGCCACAATTTTTCCCCTAGACTTATAAAACCATACGAAATATTACCAATCAAGATTTGCTTTACGTTTAAATTTCCAACATAATACTTTTTTTTCTTTCTCTAATATGTATATTGTATGGTGTCGTGATAGTTATTGAAAACAAACCATATATATTTTGTTGAAAAATGCGTCGTGGTAATACTATACTATAGTCCATGCAGTTTATAGTCTCAAAACCCAACCCAAACGTTAAGACCCAAAAAAAGCCCAAAGAAAATGGTTAGGGTTCTTCTTTTTATATATATAAAAAACGCAATTTTTTTTGTTTTTCAGTCATCTTCCTTAGTCTGAGGAGTTCGATCCAAAAGACCATTAAGGTATCATTCATTATCAATATCATCATCACTTTCTGATTCAATCCCTCTTTCATCTCCTCCTAAATCGTTTTCTTGTGATGGTCGATTCGATTTTGTAAACGAATAAGGAAAAAAAATAAAAAAATACAGAAGATGACAAGTTCACAAGTAGAAACTGGTTTCTTCGTTGAGTTGAACAATGGACTTGGAATCATCACTAGACACGATTTAGCTTTTCTTCTTCTTCTTCTTCAATCTCGTATAGAAGTATGTTCTCTTTTGCATCTGATTCTGTTAATTTGTTTTGATCAATTTCAGTATTATGTTTTAGTTTAGCGATGAATCTTTTGGATTTTTGGGTTTAGGGTTCATTGTAAAGTATTGAACTTTTTCTTGATTTTGGGTTTAGGGTTCCTCCTAAAGTATTGAGCTTTTCTTGATTCTGTGTTGCAGCATTGTTATGATTCATGTTTTAGAGGTTTAATGGAAGTAACCCAGGAATTGATTTACTAAAAGCTTTGGTCTTTTTTTTTGTTTTCTAATGCAGTAGCAAGCATCTCAAACTTCTCGGATAGACATTGTCTTTTTTTTGTTAGCTCACAACCAAATACTTGAACATGAATCTTCAGATAGAGCTTCCTGATGATGGTTCAAGACAAGCTTCTTCTTCACCTTACTCTGCAAAATCCAAAACTGTTCCTGAATGTGGTCTTGGTGGGGATATGTATGATCCTTTTGTAGACAGCTTTGAACCAGCTTCTGTGGAATTAGATTGTGTTCAAGAGGATGAACCGGTTAACGATTTGTGTGCTGAACCGAGGGCGAGCGTTTCTTCGAACAGACCACTCAGTATGGAAGAAAACAACCAAGGTGTTGATAAACAAGCTCTAAGTGAGTCTGACATGACAGCTCGGGTCAGTGTTTCTTCCAACAAACCACCTGATGTTGAAGAAAACAACACCGCAGGAAATGATATTGGAGTTGTTGTTTCTGGAGAGAACGATGAGTTTGGTGAGAATGCAGAGATTGGGAGAGAATGCAACAGCCATGAGACTGGAACACCGAACTCTCATAACGAGGACATGGAGGTAGAAAACAATGTACATGAAGGCGATGACATGAGGAAAAAGTCTACAGAGAAATCAAAGGAGAGAGATTCGTCAAGGTCCATGAAGCTTTTCAAAGTCGTGCTTACAAAATTCGTCAAGGATCTTCTGAAACCATCGTGGAGACAAGGGAATATGAGCAAAGAGGCGTTTAAGACTATTGTAAAGAGAGTTGTGGATAAAGTGTCGAATTCAATGGAGGGTCGTCGTATACCCAAATCAAGAGCTAAGATCGATAAGTACATTGACACTTCACAGCAGAAGCTGACCAAACTAGTTATGGTAAGTAACATAATCCCCTCAGATTCTATCATTACTGAACCAGACTCGTCATGGTTCTTCATTTTTGTTTTGGCAGGGTTATGTAGACAAATATGTCAAAGCATAGAAGATAAGAGAATTAAAGGGGATTTCCCATAACACAGCTTTCTGCAACTGGGGAAGATTAGACCTTTGTCTTGTCTACAAACGAGTTTAGTCAGAATTGTTCTTCTTCCGGGTGTGAAATTTACGATGAGGAATTTACCTCTACCTTCATAACATGTAAATGAAGAATCCATCATTTTAAACAGAGTAGTTGAATCGCTTGTAGCCGCATCACATGTTACTGCATTCAGAAAACCTTTATTGATAAATTCATTTACAAGTACAACCACATTCAATTTAAAACATTTTGTCTAGTTTTGCATGTTCAGATAAAGATCTTAGACCTCCACAATCTTAGAACTTTTAAACATCAATGATTAGATGTTTACAACATATCTAGCCACAGAAGCTAGAGATCAAATGTTGGAATCTCAGAAGACCAACCATGTGAGGCTTGATACATCATCCTTGGCAACAAGTGTCTGTAAGGATCACTTTCTCTTTTTACTTTTAAATAGGCAACGCATTGTTCAACCTCAGACTTTACTTGCAAGTAAAGCTCTTGTGCCTTCTCTTTGTCTTTCAGCTCCTTCTCCTTACCTGCCATGAAAATGAAAACCCGCCATTATTGCAAGTATTGAGGTCAGTGGTTTAATGTAGAGAGTATACAATATCTTGTTTTCCCAATTCGCTCTCGTCCCCTTCCCTAGTGTTCAAGATCAAAGTTCACATGAGTATTACTAGGAGGATTATGACAACAATATATAAATAGTGTGTAATGCAACACCTTATGTTGCCAGCGATCCTTGTTGCCGTTTTCACTATATCCTTCAAGATAGGGATTTTCCTTTGATCGTTGGAATCCAGAATAAACTGAGAATCATTCAATGTTACTGAAAACCGAGGTTCGGGTAGATATAGAGTAGAGCATATGTAGAGTTATTATCATTTTGAATGCAGAGACACTGCTTCTGCCTCTTGCTAGTACTCTCAAGCCAATAAAATCTAAAATGTTGAACGCAGCAATATGTAGAATGTCGAGTAATGTAGAAATTTTAATGGTTCATATAATGCAGATCGCGGTGGTTGCTGATTTGCTAACATGTAAACATGAAGGAAGCGGAATAGAGTAGAGAAAGCTTACTTTGCAGATGTCGTCCACTCCAACAACACCAAAAGGAATGATTTTGGCTCCAAATTTAGATGCAACTCTCACAAACTCGGATCGTTCTGGCCAAAACAGCTTGTGTTCTTCACCCTGCATAGTCACTATGTACATTTAAGCCTCTAAAATAAAAATTTCCAAGAACGTAGAAACCGAGAAAAGTTCACAAACCATACTATCACCTTTCTATGCAACGCTTCACGGACACCTCCAGGATACAAAAGCACATGAGCCTTTTCACGCAGTAGTTTATAGATACTGAAATTAGAGACCGGAACTCCACCCATTATCTTATATTTGTCTAACATCTTCGTGTCGAGTATTGTGTCATCGAGATTCAGAAAAAACATCGGATGTGCCAAACCCCGCAGGTGAATGTTCCTCTCTTTAAGGATTTGAGATATCATTGGAATCATGTCAAATGCCAATAGCATATGATTGCCAACGTACAGAACAGGTCCCTCTAAAGGTAATCCTTCGAGGCTCCGTACAAGTGTTCCGTCTTCTCGAGTTGACAGCATTACAGGGGAAGCACCATCCACTAGCCATCTGCACTGCAGAATTTATCATTTGGTATCCACTATAACTTTTTACTTGATGGTCTGATTTATTTTGCTAAGCATAGAGAAAACTTATGATATGTCTCAAGCAATTAGTGAAACATTTTACCGGTCATTGTCCATCTGTTGTTTTAACTCATATGGGGTAGGCATAATGTAATCCGAAATGTGATCATGAGACTTCCCACGGCGATAAAAAGAAGTAGCCTTGATGATATTAGCCAGATCTACGCCGTCCTCCTAAAGTGAGAGATGTAAAAGAGATAGTTGAAGTGTAGGTTATGAATGATCCAATATTGTAACATGAGGAAACTAGTCTCAATACTTGACCCTAAGAAGTATCCTATTTCTTGTTATTGGATGAAGAGTCACTAACCATAAGGGGAAACTGTCCATTGCTATCAAGCTTACGGACTATACATTTCGGAAACGTGCGCGAGTATCTGTCAATATATTCCTTGTTCAGTAGCCATTGAAAGCGTCCACTGCAATAGTCAACAACCAAATATTCACAAACACTTGTATATGCTCCAAGCTAGAATACCTCTTTACAAGTAAAAGATATTTAGAAAATTTATGAGAGAAACTTATTGGACCTCAGAAGTATGATTGTTTCCGCTCTGACTGAGTAAATGTGAGAATTCGCAGAAGCAACAGCAGACTTAAGCATTTCCAGCTTCCAGAGCAATGTGTCCTTAGAGAACATCCTTCCAAGAGTCTGCAAATATATTTAGATCCTATTACTAGATGAGCACTAGAACTGATATAGATCATGAGTTTCTAAGAAGGAATACTTACAGGAAGATTAGTTAAAACAGCAAGGAGATCTCTTAGCATCCCTCCACCCACTCTGCCCATACGCTCGCTAGAAAATTCATTTGACAAAGCGCCTAACATTCCAGCCAGCGGATCCCATACCGTGACAAAGAAACACATGTTTGAATAAGTTCTTGAATTACATGGAACTGATGTTGTATAACATCACACCCGTCACTAATAGAATCAACAAGATGCTAAAACTGAACATAAAAGTGTAACTGATGATTGATGATGATGATGTCAAGATCCAACTTGAAACTCAATCAGTTGTGTAACTGATGATTCAAGAGAGAATATGAGAAGAGAATAAAAGTGTACCTTGCTTAACACCGAAGATATCCTCCAATAGTGTTGGAATACCATCTGGTAAAACACTCAGCATTCCAGATAGAAGTTGCGATATGAAGTTGTTGATATGTGTGGCTGCAACAAACAGTATCTATTACGACAAAAGTTTTGTGATATTCACCAACTAATTAAGAATACTCCTACAGACCGAGATCCTATGTACCTGGATTAACCATGATCAAAGAAAGATCAATATTTGGATTCCTGGCTGCAACATCTAAAGCAAGACATGCTCCAATAGATTCTCCAACTAAATATATTGGTCTATTTGGGAACCGAGAGTGCTCCAACTTAACAGTCTTCTCAATAAGTTTCACCAAGTCTGTATAAAACAGAACACAAACTTTAATTTTCAGTAACTATCTTCTCAGTTTAGTTACTTCAAAGGCGCAACAAAAGGGTACCTTTAGCAGGAGTACGATCGCTGACCGGAATGTGAAGGCACCATATATCAAAAACCCTACTCAAAGACAACATTATCAGAAATCAATATCCCTTCCTAACTCAAAGTTCTTGGATAAACAGAGAAATAATGTGAAAGTACGCACTCCCCGAGTTTCTTGTGATGGCTAATGAGCCCTAGTCCAGTCCCATCGATCCCTGCAGGTTATACATTATGAGACACGGATACTCAACAACCCCAAGGGGGTTGAGTCATAGGTTGATATACATTATGATTCTTGAATTCAAAATCTGAAATCGAAATAGGACAAACCAGGTATAAAGAGGAGCAGAGGAGAGCCTTGAGTTTGTGCTTGAGCGCCACACTCCAAAGGAGAGAACCAACGAGGTGGACCGCTTCCGTCTACAACAAGTTCTCTTGCTTCCTCCAAAAAATCAGACAAGCTCTTCCTCAACTCAGGACGCGCCGTCTCCACATTCGAATACGGGTTTGCGACCACCTTTTCCGCCACCGTGGCTCCCTTTTCATCATTATCTTTCCGTTCCAGTCGAACACTCGTAGAAGGAGGAGGAGTCGTGGATGTTATGGATTTGACAGAAATGAGTCTACGTTTCGAGGCTGAGGTCCGTTGTCGTAGGTATGATAAAGATGAGACAGCACAGAGACCGAAGCTTGAGCGAAGTAATGTTGTAGTCTCCATTTTGTGAGAAGCTTCTAAAGAGATAGTTCTTTGCAGTTTGTTTGCACTTGCTTTTATAGTCAGAAACAAAAGTAAGAGGCAACGCGGAAATCAATTCTGTTCCGTTGAGCACGTTATTACATGTCACATGTGGTATTTATTATTATTTAAGAGGTTGTGTGATATAATTAGTCAGTGTATATCGTCGCTGTGAATTTACTGTTTAAGAATTCGCATGATGTAGAAATATTTACTGTATATATAAGAACAAAAAATCTATATATTGGACGTTTCACATGTGGCATAATTCTGTTTAAAGAGATAATCATTTGACAAACACAATGGTGATTAAAAGGATTATATCTAGTGATTATAAAAGATATAAACTCTAACCACTATTTTATAACCTAAACCAAAAAATATATATATATTAGTCGGTTGCCCGCGCTACGCGCGGAATTTTATTATATTGTTTATAAATAATTGGTTTGTATTTTATTTCCTACTTATTTTTTTCACTATACCATACTTTACTTTTTTAAAACTTAAATTGTGTTTGTATAGAAAAACTATTGAGTTTTAGCTTCAATAGTCGTTGAGAAATCTCTATATTAGTAAAAGAGAAGTACAAAATAAAATGCGGGTCGGGTCAAAATTAAAAAATTAACCCGAATTTAACAATTGGATACTTCAAAATTGGATATTAAAATGGATTCGGATACATACATCGGATACTTTCCATATCTCATTTTATGATTATATTATTTCCATAACTAATTTTAAGATTTCCTAATATTTTTCTAAGTAGTTTAATAGAATATATTAAAAACAATTATCATTCTTCTTTCACTTTTATTTGATCTCATTTTCAATTTATAATATTATACTAAGTATGAAAAATGTTTAAATTTTTTTTAACTTTTTTTCGCATATGTTGCAATTTGAATTTTCAAAACGGACATATAATACTCAATTACACTCGGTTAAATATTTTGGACAATGATTTAAAATCATTATAAGTATGACCAATATTAAAATCATTGTTACATGAGCATATTTAAAATTTTAAAAAATTTCAAAATATTATAATTAAAAGGTTCAAATTTATAAAAAAAATTAGATTTAAAATAGTAAAACTATTGTTTTCCATACATAGATGTAAATTTGGAGACATAAATTTTATTGATAAAGTATTATATATCAAACTACGTAAATTTTAGATAGTTCACGGGTAATTTTTTAAAATCACAATTATAATGGTAAAGCGAGTTGTGAATAATGTTTTTACGATATGAATTATGTTACGGGTTGG